GTTCAGCAGTGCCAAACTCCAGTCTTTTTGCTAAAAATTTGTTTACACTGCTCCATTTTACAAAGCTACAGAGCTACTAGCCCCCCATAGCAAGAAGCCTAGCTTTTCTTTTTGTCTTTTATTATTTACTGCACCGAGTTTCCAACGTGTGCAGTCACCCTGTGGCAACCTGAAGGCCGGCGCGGCGAGCGGGAGGATGCAGAGAGGAGTCCCCGCGCGCGCAGGGCGGGAGGCGGCCCCGCCGCTCGCCTACCTGCAAGGCTGGCCAGCTGCTGCCCGCCATCCCGCAGGGCGAGAGGCCCTGCCTCTCGCCGCCCTGCTTGGTCACGGCGAGGACGATGTGGGTCCCTGTGGAGTCGGTGATGAGGGTGGGCGGAGGGATGCCCTTGATGAGGTCGCTCAGGGCGCTGCTCCCTTGCTGGCCGAGGAAGAGCCGCGGGCTGTGGGGCTGGCGCGGCGGCTCCTCTTCCGCAGCTGGCACCTCCTGCTTCACCAGCACGGCTTTCTTTGGCACTGCGCTTGCGTCCGAAGCGTCCGTTTGGCTAGCGGTGGGTGCAGGGCTGAATTGGTCTGTTTGGCCACTGGATTGCTTTGCAGACTGGCAACTTAAGAAACCGTTTTCGCTCTTGACCTGGACCCCGAACGCTGCCGGCTTGGAGGGCAGGGCTGCTCCTTCTGCCGCAGCAGCCGGGGCCGCCCTGCTGCGAGCGCTTCTCCGGCTCCAGCTGCAGCCTCAGCATCTCCACGAGCTGCTGCTTCTGCTTCAGCATGCGCGTGAGTTCCTCGATCTGCTTGTCCTTCTCTTGCAGCATCTGGTCTTTGTCCCGACCGTCGGCGTCTCTGCTGCTGCTGGCGCTGCATCGCTCCGACCTGGGGGCTGCGCTGACACTGCACGGAGCAGCCTTGGCGCTTTCCTCCTTCACCACGAACTGCACCGGAGACGCCTGCAGCGTGAGCTGGGTCAGGGGCGAAGTCACCATCTCCCCAAAGGTGTCTCCAGTGGCCGAGTTCTCGTCCCCTGTGCTGATCTGTGAGCGCTCAGAAGGAGTGGGAGAAACTGGGGGGGTTGAGCCCGTGCTGCCAAACTTCATCACGCCACCACTCGTGACTGTGGCCACAACTACCTCTGCTGGGGCGATGCCGGTGGTGACGACGTGCCCAGCCGAGCCGCTGGGAAGGCCACCACCACCTCGGCGGCTTTGGGGAGAATGGCTGCTGTGCTGGGCTTGGGATTGGGGGCTGCCGGGCCAGCTGCACCGTTCTGCTCTTGGTAGGCTCGGAGACGCTCAATCAGGTCTGTCTTTGTGCCCGAGACAGGCAAGGCCCTCAGCTTCAACTCTTGCTTCAGCTCCGCCACCTGACCAGGGCAAAAAGAGACGGTGGCATCAAGAGAACGCACGCTCCAACCACAGTAACTACTCACAACTACCAGAACTAACCACAACAACTATTGGCAACTACCAGACTCATGAGGCGAAGGACTAAGCTGAGTTCTTGCAGGCCCATGGCCCTGCATGTCAGGCTCGCCCTGCAGGGTAGCAACACCTGCTGTTACCACAGATTCCTGCCAGGCCACCTCAGCCCTGCTCTGCAGCCGCCGCTTCATTCCATCTCCACTGCTCCGCTGAGGATGGCAAAACGAGGGCCGTGCAGCTGGCCGGCAGTGCCAGCAGCACCAGTATTTACCTTCATCTCATCGAGGTTGGCAGGGAGAGGGCCCGGCTTGCCCGCTGCAGCACTGCTGCTCTGCAGCAGCAGCCCGGCCTGCGCGGAAACACAAAGCAGAGGCATCACAGCTGAGTGGAGGACACTGAGACACGCCAACGCCTTTGACTGTATCCGTTCCCCTTCACTCTACCAACTCATTTGAGCTGTTTTGCTTGATTCCCCTGACCCCAGTGGTTCTCAAGGCCCACCATAACCCCACACGACTACCCGCCATTCCCACACCTCACAAGCAGAACAAGATTCATTGGAACAGGACTGGCCCTTCCTAAGAGCCGGGGCTCTCCCCATGGGCAGAGCTGACAGAGCGATGAGGGACCTGTAGCACGAGAGGGTCCCAGAGCAGACACGTGGCAAACAGGAGCCGTACTTTGGTGGGGCTGGCAGGATGGTCTGATAGTTGTAGTGCTGCTGCTGCTGCTGGTTGAGGATCTGGAGCTGGAGAAAGAGCTGCTGCTGCTGCAGTATTTTGGCATAGGATGAATCCATGGGGGGAGCTCCTTTGTCCTGCTTTTGGTCCGGGGGAATATACTGATGATACTTCAGCTTCTTGACTTTCGGCTTTAATTCCTTGGCTTTTTTACTGCGCTGGGACTTCTCACTAGCAGACTTGGGCTGGCTTTGCTGTTCAGAACAAGAGGAGGAAGCAAATAGGAATGGAAACACCAGACTAACAGAGCACCCACGTAGGCCAGAAAGTAAGCTGGTATTTTTATTTCAAAATTCTCCCCATTTAACCTCAGGGCCTTCCTATATTTCTCTAACTTTGGCAATGCATCCCTAGCAGCTTACATAGCACCAGGAAGCAGGTGACAGACAGAAGACCATTCATCTTTCCCAGTACACCTGACCCCCTGTCCATCCAGTATAGACTCATCATCTCTAATCAGCGATACTGCTGACTTGACAGTTTCAGAAGATTTTGTATTCAGGACCATCTTACAGCAGGTGAACAGATCTTGGAACTGAAGAATCTATCAAATACATCACCAGTAGTGTCAGAGGAAGACATTAGAGAGCAATAAGTCTTCCTTCTTAGCGTATATTAACATAATACTTCAACCCCAATCCTTCCTTGAAGCAACCATCTTAATTTCTTTCAGACTACGGCAAGGAAATCAATGCAGACAGTACCTTAATGAGTGTTGGTGGGGGCTTGGCAGCAGGAAGAGCCGCTCCATTGGTGAGATTAGGAGGCAAAAGAGGAGGAGGTGGCAGAGGTGGGGGTGGCTGTTCAGGCAGGAAAAGCGTTTCGCTGGAGTCTGCACTAATCTGCAACTGGGATGTACCCTGCAGGAACAGAGAGGGGCAGGAGGCACACGCTGAGGAGAAGAGAAACAACAGAGTGCAAGGGGTGCCCAGCGCAGGCTACAGGTCATTAATCAGGATTCCTGCGACCCTGGCTTCAGTTGTCCCCGAGAAGCAGCACAGCTACTTAGGGCAGAAAACGAATCAGGATTTCACACCTGTATCTTCCACCTTTGCCTGCCAGAATCAGTCACACACAGGCCACGTCACCCGTAACCACTTCCTCACATCTCCACCTTGGGGACTTGTGAACAGAGGGCTTCATTGACACCACACAGAGCTGACACCCCCGGTGACATGTCCCAAACTCCCTGTCTCCAGCAGGGACATCTCCAGGATCTCTGGGCCTCACTTTTTAGCTCCGCAGTAGTTGCAAAGCTGCAGGGCACCGCAGAGGCCACTGCAATCTCACCTGAGCTAGTGATGTGCCAGTGGTGCTAGGGAGAGGCTCACAAATCCGGGAGTCCATTGGCGACGGGACAGAGCCCTGGGACTCATGGCTGGCTGGCTGTTCTGGGGAGAGGGCATCGCTGCTGTCCTCATCGAAAGAGGAGTTGTCTGCAACCTTCGGGTAGTTCACTTGTCCAACTGCAAACACAAACACCAGTTGTGGACTTTGAAGCAGAGCAAAATATTATTTCACTTGATGCTAAATATTTCCCAAAGACCACGAAGGAAGGGCGACAGAAGTGTCTGAGCTGTGCTTAAAGTACCAAGTGAAAACAGCTCCAGTCTGGGCTTTGTTGTCCTATTGGTGGAATAAAAATAATATAACGATACAGACTGGAGTGAAGCACTTCCCTTGCCTCTCGGCAGGAAGGTCAAAAGTACAGCACAAACTACATAGTCCTGCCAAATTGAGAATTTAAATCTTGTAAGCAAGGACGGCTATGAACAGAGTCTGAAGTGGTGGCTTGGCTACTTTTAGTATTTCTGCCTATCTACAAGTCCCACAAGCAACAAGTTATCTCAAATCCTGGTAAGCAGGAAAACAACTCCTACTTAACAGAGGAGTGACAGAAATGCACCAAGATGTGACAGGCTTTCAGTCAGCAAGATGCTACACCTCCAGTGTTGCAGTTCACAAGTTCACTCTTTTTCTTCCTCAAGTATTTCTCGTGCAATAGGGAAGGCAGGAGTTCCTGCCTGACTACCCCTTCCCTGCAGCTTTGCTCAGTCGTGCCCGATTTGCCTCTGAAGTAGCTGCCTGCATTTGAAGCGCAGGGTGCTCAGCTTGGGGAGATAGGAAAGAGCACTCACTGCTCAGGCAGTGGGAAGGCATTCCTTTCAGCCCTTGGAATGGCACTGGCATGATTTCCATCTGTTCTGGTTTATTTTTAAAGGGGTTGAATCCTCTGAAGATTGTTAGTCCACAGACAGCTTTTGTTTCATCACACCTGTTTCTATTCTGTCTCTCTGCTCCGGGTGTCAGACAGTTCTCCCTGACCAAGGTTGCTGATGCACTGCACACAGACAGAGATTTTTAAGAGACTCAAGGGAATGCAATCCACAGCACTCTTGCAAGTTCTCAGAGTCTGGGACTGGTTTCACGCTATCCTGGGATGTTCACAGGACTTAAAATTTAGTGTCTTTGTACTATTATTTGAGCCAGAAGGAGTTCTGTTTTTTGAATCCTTGGGGCTGAAAGGCTGGGATTCTCAGGCCAGAAAACAAGACTGACGAGAGGATGGTGATCCCACAGACAGGAAGGTGAATTAAAGAAAATCACAGCCACCTATGGGAAATGCTCTCAAAAATCAGTCCTCCTCTGGCGTTACCTATAATGGCTTCCTTCAAGCTTGACTCCACAGGCAAGATGTTCTTCTCCACGAGTTCCATGGGACCTGGCCTCTGTGCTATCTTCTCATTGAGGTCATCAGCCAGCCTGGCTCTCTTGAGCTTCAGCTGCTTAGCCTGCAAGGAGGGTTCAGCTGAGGTCTCTGCATGGGGAAGTAAAGAAAATGGCATCAGTCCAGCAATGGTCAACCTATGCACTGCAGCAGTGTTTCATTTCTATTCAGAAAGGTAACTGTAGATAACTGCACAGAAAAAAAATCCCTGTAGATAACAGTAGATAACTATAAAATATAAAAATATTTTACATATCTTATAGATATTGTGTATAAGACAACTATAATAGATCTCATGACTCTAGAAAAGGACAAATCCACTGCATTTAAACTGAAGTCACTTGCTTCTCATTCATCTTTTCCCCTTCAGTTGTGTCCAAAGACGTGGTGCTCGGCAGAAGTAGAGCACTTCCTCCCTGAAACTGAGGTGTATATTCACTACATGTAATCTTCCTCTCTCCCATTTTGGACACTTTCAAGTGTCTTATCAGAAGACCAATCCACACCCATTCAATTTATTGTTGCTCAGCTGCACAAAACAGCTGCAGAATTTGAGTTTACATGACAAATTATTCTGAAAATCTAAAAAATCATGCAAGGACATAAATCCTTTCCAAAAAACCATGCAGCAGACACGACCTTCTGCCCACTTAAAACTAAAAGAAAAAATCTGGGAGTGTGAGGCAAAATTTAAAGCTCTTAAAGGAGCTATAACAAACTTCATGTTGATGTCTTCCTGTTGAGTGTATGCTATACCTTCCAGAATGTGCATCCTAACCAGCTCTGATCTCTCTGGCCGGGACCGGATTTTCCGTTTCAAATAGTCCTCTGTCTGCAACAAAAACAGACAAGAACCAATTACAGTCGATCAGACACAGGAGTGAGGTTATTTTGGGTAGCACAAGCAAGAAAAACAACCACTTCTAGTTATTACAAAGATCTAAATAAACACTGAACAGAAATGGGAGATATCTTCTGTCCCAGAGCACCAACAGAATGAATTTTTTTTAAAGACAACCGTCTACGGTACATCCCCTCAGTATGAGAGTGCTCCACTGACCCTGGAGAACAGAGCAGAGGACTTCAAGAGGAGTTCTCCGTTTTTCCCTTTATACAGCACCACTAGCTTGTGTCAGGGTGACATTCGAGATCTTTCTCTTTATATTCAAGATAGATGCATTGCTTCCATTATGTACAGGAATCCTTATACACACTGCCAGCAATCAGGGCTGATTTGTGGTTTGGGCCTTATTCCTGTATTTGTTTAAAGGCACGTGTTTTGTTAAGTCTTAAAGACCCCGTGGCAGGCAGAATCTAAACACTTTCAAAACTAAAGAGCTTTCCAGACTAAAGAGCTGCTTCTCGCTCCCTCTTTGAGGAGTGCACAACAGAGCAGTGCCCGGAGATGATCCTGCCTGAGCTGATCGTGTTACCACTTACTCATCTCAGCAGTGGCGATCTGGGAGCAGTGGGGACCTGACTGACAAGTACTGATGGCTACTTAGCCCTCGGAAGGGATCCCTAGGGAAAATAAATATTAAAGGCTATCACAAACACGTGCCACACGTGCCCAATATTAACTTCATAAGGAGGTTAGAGAAGAAGAGAGAAGCAACAAACAAAACCCTTGGGGACGCTACTCTTAGTATGCAAAGTACATTGTTCCAGTCCTTCTGCAGAATTTAAAGTGCTCACCCTGCCTGACAGGTTTCAATTACAGCTGTTACATCTTTAGTTTTATATTGTTTTCATTTTAAAAACCAACTTAGGCAAACAGCTGTAATGGGTTTTATTTCTCTGTAGGCTAGTCAGAAAAGAACACTATACCCAGAGGCATTTTGAGGAACAGAAATCATGAAGAAACCCCCAGTCTGAGAAGAAGGTGCAGCATGAAGTGTGTCTCCTACTTCAGGCCTGGCTTCCTCTTTCTCAAGAGCCTGGAGCCTCTGCGATTTCAGTGTTTCACAAGATTTTGGGGGATCTTCTCTAATAAGTTTTGAATTTCTAGTGCCCTAGATAAACAAGATCATGTGTTTGTAACACAGAAATTATACACTCGGCTCAAAGCTGGAAATCACCCCCTTCAATGGGATCCACACAGCAGGAGCACTTAAGGGCAAAACAGACACCATAAAAATGAGTGTGCAAAGTGTACCGATGGCAGGGAAGAAAAATATCAGTGATCTCCAAAATGCAGCCTCCATGGAAAACCCAGGCATTGCTTTCAATGGCTTTTAGGCGGGACTAGTTCACAGAGATCAGCACCACTGCATATGAACTAAAGAGAAATGCCCCACTCAATGTATCTCAGGCAGCTTTGCAGGGTATCACATCTGGAATATGAACAAGACCCTTCTGTATCTCACTGGTATCTACCAGATGCCCCATGTAAGAACTACAATCACTGACTTCTTCAGAATCTTCAATCACAAACTGAATCTTACCCTGGCCCGCTCCAAACTCCTTCTTTGTTCATGAAATGCAGCTGGACTTTTCAGAGCTGTTGAGAGAAAACAATGGCAGAGTGAATTAGACTGGTTAAGCTCTTTCACTGCATGGTCTTTCAGGCCAACAAATGCAGCAGTGCCACTGCAGCAACTGCCTTCTGCATCTTTCCACACGCTGGTTGAATCTCCAGCTGGTAGAAAGTGATGGGAATCACCACACTCCATTTTGCGACACAAGAGCCACAGGAGCTGACCTGGACTTCTTGCGGCTGCTGAAAAGAATAACAGGGGCTGCATTTCCAGTTGCACCGACCCTGTTCACAAAACAGAGCCCAAGAACATGAGTCAAAAACCGCCCCCAGCAACCGCCTTGTACAAGCTTCAGTACAGAGCTGAAGGCTCCATCCGGGACCCTTAGTGATTGGCACTGAAGCACTGAAAGGGGTATGTGAAACGTCTGGAAGGATGGGAGAGGATCCCAGTGAACTGTAAATCTGCTCTAGTACCATGTAATGTCACAGGAAGCTGCAAGCTTTGCATTAATCTGCACCTGTGTTTTGTGTACACGCATGGGCTGGTTTACAAACTCAGCAGGTCCACAGTGGGACATATATATATTGCTCCTACATGCAAGAGAGGGACTATCATGAGAACAGGAACACTTGGACAGGAAAGGACATCTGTTTGCTGACAGATAAGCAAGACTTGTGGAATTAACAGCAGCTCTCTCTGTAAGAAACCTCCTCTCCCTCCTCAGCCTCGTATACAAACACAGCCAAAATGGATCATGTTATAAGAAACCGATCCTCTGCTGTCCAGGACCGTACTAACCCTGGAGGAATCTCTCACTCTGCCTGGCTCCTGTGGGACACCCAAGCTCACGTCCCACGTAAAACTGGGAAAAAAAAGAGGTGATATTACTTGTGCCTCAGCATGAAGAACTGTCACCAGTTTCCCGCAGTTTCCCCAAATCCACAAGCAGCTTTTTTCCTAAAACTGCAGCTTGGTTTATACGCACAAATGGCCAAAGGGAACATTAACTTTTCTTTCATATTTCTGAAATGCTCTTATTTACAACTGCCTGATGGAGCTTTTAAATAACCACAGGCTGAAACAGCACAGTTGTTAAACTTCAGCTTTGCAGACAAGTTGTAAGTTTCCTGAGGTCAGAAATCTTAACTCATGCAGCCAGTTGGGATTCAAGACTATAGAAATAAATTATGCATAATTTACAGAATAACTGAACTACATTGAGAAATAGCCTCTGTGAGTGAGCATACAAATCCCTACCATGATGGAGCAAATCGTGTTCGGATTAAAGATAGTTTCATATTATCTGGTTATTGAGAAACCAGCTGAGAAAGTTAGGCAAACTGGCAAAGGGGAGTGCACAGATTGGGATAAACCAGAGAACTCATTTTGCAATAACTGAAAAAAATAGCGTATACATAAAAAATCCGTGGCTAGCCGAAATGTCGATTCCTGGCCCGCCTGAAATCATACTGGAAAATGCTGTTTTCAGGCCACACTGACTGCTTTTCAATACGCAAGAGTTTGCACTTTAACACGTGTTTCTCTCACCACATGCACATCACAGAAAAGAGCAATTAAAGCTAATTAATGCTCAGGTATACTTGGGCAATGGTACCATGCAATGTAAAAATCACTACAAAAATCCTCCCAGGATTTTTACAAGGAAAACAGGCCCGATGTGGAGTGCGGACCCCTTGCTGCCACTAGAATGTGCAGGCACTGCAGTAATTCCTCGCTCTCCCCTTCCTCCCTGCATCTGCCACTGACGTGAGGCACCCCATGAACTTTCAGTGACATTTTCCTGACCATAACAAATGGTCAGGGATGGCAACTGCAGCAGCTCAGCCGATTTCACAGGTAGCCCAGGAAAAATCTTGAATACGGAGGCACCAAGCAAGAAGAACAGATTCCCCATGCAAAAAATAATAATAAAAAAACACACGACCACATGGCAAGTCCGGAGGGATTGAAATTGTTCTGTGCAACTGTCTCCTAGCCGCTTCGCCACAACTCCACTCTCTCCTGGCTTGTCCCCTGGAAACAAGCTCTGGTTTCTGGCTCTCCGGCCTGGCAGCGCGACAGAGGACGCCCTCTGAAAATGTCAAGAGGGCACAAATCCTCCGCGCTTCCCTCGGCCACCAAGGATGGGGCACACATGTCAGAAGTGGTTGCCTACTGTAAAACCGCCCTCCATCCAAACCTGACTAAGCCTCGCACAGTCCTTCTGGCCATGAAACATCTATGGGGCCCGGAGCGGTGCAACAACTCCACTGACTCTGTAATAGCAAATGGGGAAAAAACTGCGCCCAAGGAGGCAAGCCGGATCCGTACGCCACGGGAGGCCTGGCCACTGCCTGGTTTGGACCCTGAGTTAACTCTGTGAGGAAGGTCATAGCACGGACCACACACCCGCCTTCCTCTCCCACCTCACGGGGTGCCCATCCCTGTCGAATAACTCCTGCTGGGCTGCTCACCTGAGGGCTGCTCATAAAAAAATTCACTCAAAACTACCCATATTGACCAAATTCTATTTTCTGGCTCTGGCTCATGGGGGCACACAAATGGGAAGCGCAGCTGACAGGACTAACCTGCAGCTCTACGCACAGAGGTAGGCGCAGGGCCCCGGCCTCTACCGCTGAGCCAGGCCGCAGATCCACAGCCCGCGGTGCCGGCAGCAGCGCCTACGACAACCGCAGCAAGGGATGAAGAGACCCCAAGCAACTTGACCCTTTCTGACTGCTCAGACTGGATAAAATATACTTAACTGTTCTCGACAGGAGCTTCTCTAACCTGTTCTTGAAGACCTCTAATGAAAAATGCAGTATGATGTCCCCAGAGAAATTACCTCACTATTTGAGAGTCTTTCTGGACAACTAACCTACATTTCCCTTCCTTCCTTGCCTTACCTGTAGTAAACACTGACAACAACTTATTCTCTTCTTTGCATTTATCTGTTTGCATTTGTTCAATTTTATTAGCATCTTCTGCTCTCTAAAATGACCAACTTCACTTATTTCCACCTTTCCTTATAGACAAAGTTTCACAGACCTTTGATCACTTATTGCTTCCTTCCAGACTCCTTTCACACTTTTCTTGAAGTGCAGTGTCTAAAACTGGACACATACTTCAGCCTAGACTGTACTGGCTTTTAACGGGCCTGAAAGATTATTTCAGAACACTTCCCAGTTACATGTCCTAGGCTGGCCTGGCTGATTGCCTTTTTCTGTGTGTGTATAAAACGCCTAACGCTGTTCACTTGTGTTTGGCTCCCAAAAGGCTGGGGCTCTTCTGCAGAATCGCTGTCTGGTTAGTCATCCTCCAGGCTCAACACGCCGCTGACTAGTCCTACCAAAATGCAGAAAGTTTGCATTTGTTTATTTTCTTCTCTATATTCTTTCACCAGTTGCTGAAGAGTATTATGAGTCCTAGTCCTGTCCTCCTCACAACTTAAAAAACAGCCAGTTTAAACACATTATTCCCTCGTTTAAATCAAATTACTGAAAATACTGAGCAGTACCAGACATAGGCCTTCCAACTCACTACCCATCCCTGCTCAACACATCCTCCCAGTCCAAAAGCAAGCCATTAATCCATATACTGCTGTCCAACCAATTCTGCATCCAGCCTTTACTCCATATACTGTTACCCAACCAGCTGTGCATCCAGCTTAAAGTTCTCCCCTCTCGCTCCTGTAAATGTCAGGTAACACCCTGAAGTGCCAACAGGCATTGAACCTTCTGATTTCCTGAGGACATTACTCAGCAAGTATTTGTATGGCTGGTAGGCCTATCTTCAATAGGCTGCTATTGAAGACGACCTCCACGTCCTGCCCATCCCGCTGCCCCCTCCCCAAGAAGTGATGCTGTTGATCTCCGTTTGATTCCTCGGTCTGGCTCACTGCCCGACAGACCAACAGCTCTGCTCCCCACACGTGGGGTGAGCACCTGGGCAGAAGGTGCTGCTGGAGAAAGCAAAGCCTGGCACATACGAGAGCAGCCCCAGCTGCTGGCCGCTGGCTCTTGTTTTCTATGACGAGCAGAGAAGGCTTCCCGTGGCGTTTCTCCGCTACTGAGCAGTGCCAGAACATAGATGTAACTCACACTATTGCCTCCTTCTAGTTATGCATCGCCCTCTGACTTTATTTCTACATGTGCATGGTATTTTCATCCTTAATAACCTGAGGATATGCTTTCCGCCCTCATTCCTGTGCCCAGACCCGGGACAAAGCCTGTTAGCCTTCCGTTATGCCAACCAAACAGCTTGTGGACTCAGATCACGTTTGTTTGGAAAGCGTTATTCTAACCTGGATCGGTAGCTGGTCTAGTTTACAGCCCGGCTCCACGAATAACCGTGTCAGCAAACCGGAGCAGAAGCGGCACTGCCAGGCAGGGCCACAAAGGGGAGGCTGGGCTGAAAGGCAGCCCTGCAGCCGGAGCTCCTGCACCGCGAACCAGCGGGGTCCGTGTCCACCGGCCGCCCCGGCTCCCCTGGCAGAGCGGCGGCCGGCAGCACGTCGCCCTGAGCAAGCGCCACGGAGGGCTTAGCGCAGAATAGGCGGGATAACGCTGTCGCTGGAAGCGGCTTGAGCGGCACATTCCAGCAGGTGCCCCTCACTGACCGAGCTGCGAGGGCTTTTGTCCCACTCAGACAACCCGTTATTTGCAAGCCCTGCAAGATGGGCTTAAAATCCCTCGCGTTCAGATGGCCGACAAGATGACATTATTTTCCTACTGCAGCTGGGTCGGCTAGCAGGGAGCTGCAGAAATTCCTACCACATACCGTTATTCCCTTTGGAAGTTGTCGTGGGCCATTTTGCTGCTTCTCCGTAGGAATTCCTGAAGCATTAGCATCTGCTGTCACACCCTTGGCTGCCTCGGAGAAGTCACCCTGGAGATGAAGCAGCCCACAGTTTGGTGCCTCCACCCTTCCACCCGACCTCGGCCTTCGCAGCAGCGAGAGGACATCTAGGATGATACATGTCTTCCCATGCCAACCACAGAGGTGCAAAACACTAATCATC